GTTGCCCAATTCCCAAAGTTTTGAAAACCGAATAGGGCATCAAGTTGATACTCGCCCCAAGATCACATAAAGCTTTGGCAAAGTCGGCACTCCCAATTGTACATGGGATTGTGAAAGCGCCCGTATCTTCCAATTTAGGAGCCATTGAGTGCACAATTGCACTCACTTGATGTGTCATCTTTATAGTCTCACAATTCATCGACCTCTTCTTTGTCACCAAGTCCTTCATGAACTTTGCATATCCCAGCATTTGTTCCAAGGCCTCAACCAACGGCGCATTAATAGACAAACTCTTCATCATGTCAATGAACTTTTTGAATTGGTTCTCGCCATTCTGCTTGGCAAGCCTTTGAGGATATGGAGAGGAGGCCTTGGCATTGGTGCCTTATCCTTTGGCACTACCGGTTCTGGTATGTCAACAATGTGCTCCCTAGATGGGTTCACTTCTTCTTGAGTCTCCTCCACATTGTCTTCAATATCAATTTGCACCTCATCATTTGCTTGCACTTCATTGCTTGGCATCTCGTCTTCTTGAACCAATTGTTCATCTTCCACAATTTTCTTTTGACTTGAGGTGGTTGCATCCCCACCTTTTCCACTCCTTTTAGTCACGGCCATGGCATGTCCCATTTTGTTCCCACCCTTCGGGTTCACCATCGTATCAATTGGTAGTGCCCCATTAGGACGAGTGTTCAAAGCTTGCGAGTTTGGCCCAATTGAACTTCCAAATTGCGAATTGAAGTGTTGTGAGAGGATAATTGAGCATCGGAGTAGGCATTCTTCTCCATCATTTGTTTAAAAATGTTCTCAGTTTGTCCCATATCATTGTTGGAAGAACTTGGACCTTGAGAAGGATAAGGAGGCGGGTTGCTCGATTGTTGAAACATTGGGGTCTTTGAAAACCCGACCCCCGGTTGTTGTTGTTGTTCCACCCTCCTTGATTGTTACCTCCCCAATAGCCTTGATTATTACCACTCCAATTGCCTTTGTTATTTGACCATTCTAATTTCCTTGATTGTTTTGATTGTTCCAATTCCCTTGGGTTGTTTTGATTGTTCCAACTACCTTAATTGCTTGAATTCTAATTTCCTTGATTTACTTGTGGTCCCCATTGTTGTTGATTTGGGCCATGATTGTTGTTTCTTTTCCCTTGGAAGTTGTTCACATATTGAACATCCTCTTCTTGTTCATTATATTGTTTATCTTGATCAAACCCACTATCATCTTGCACATAATTTTACAACCTGGTTTTGCACTTGAGGGCCTTTTTTTCCTTCTCTTGTTTACCATCATACTAACTTCCTCCATTGCATTTACTTTCTTGGGACCTTGCACTTGTTGAAGTTGAGCTTTGGCTAGTTGATTCATTATGGTGGTCAACTCGGTAATTGCTTGCCCGTGATCATGTAATTCTTTATGCAAGTGAATTACATTTGGACGCCTTGAGGAACGTTTGCTCTACTTTGCCATGCCGATGACGTATCTGCCATTTTGTCAAGAATCTCACAAGCTTCCGCATACGGCGTTGTCAAGAAATTTCCACCAGCAAGTTGGTTGACCACACATTGATTGGTAGTATTGATCCCCCAATAGAAAGTTTGTTGAATCATAGCCTCCGTCATATCATTGTTCGGGCACTCTTTCACCATAGTACGGCACCTCTCCCATATCTCATGAAAAGGCTAATTTGGTTCTTGTTTGAAAGCTAGAATCTCATCCCTAAGCGTTGCCATATGCCAGGGAGAAAAGAACTTGGAAATGAATTTTCTCGGTCAATTCATCCCATGTATGGATAGAATGATTTGGCAACCTCTCTAACCAATCCAAAGCCTTCCCCCATAGAGAGAAAGGGAATAGCCTCAATCTTAAAGCATCCTTAGAGACGTTTGTCTGTTTAATCCCCCAGCAAGTGTCAACAAACCCTTTCAAGTGCTTATACACATTTTGATTCGGAGCCCCGGTGAAGAATCCCCGTTGTTCCAACAACGTAAGCATAACATTTGTGATTTGAAAATTTTCTGCCCTAATGCGGGGCGGGACTATGGCACTTGCATATCCTTCATTTGGCAACACCCAGTGTGCCGCCGCTCTTGGAGGAGGTGGGGGTGGAACGGGAACACTATCTTGAGGCGGGCGGCCTCGTCTATTTGCTTGAGGTTCAAGAGGAACCTCATCAACTTGGTCACCATCTCTGTCATTCCTCAATGACACGTTTCCAAGAGGATCATTGTTGTTGAGAGCCATTGTATCACCTACAATTGTTTCACAAAAAGATTAGTAACCCGGAAGGAAAGGATGAAAAATCAAACACAAAACCAAATATATAGCTAAATCCGTTTTTAGCTCCCTGACAAAGGCGCCAAAAATTGATGTCGCCCAAGTTCAAACCTTAAATTTGGGTTGTGAAGCGGCCGATGCAATTATAATTACCCAACTAGGAGTCGGACAAACGGCTACAAACTTTTAGATGTTCAAACTTCACCAAAATTTGACAAAAATAAACTATTTATACCCAGCTAAAATTATCGGATAAAATTGCCCGTGTGGAGGTTCTGCGGCCGCACAATTCTGTATGCGGTCTGCACTTTGAAGCTGGCTTGATAGGATGGACATTTGCGGCCGCACAATTCTGGGTTGCGGCCGCACTTCTTCAGATTCTGCAGACCGCACATTTCTGAGTGCAGCCGCACTCTTGAACTTGAGCTTGACATGAGAGACTTCTGCGGACCGCACATTTCTGAGTGCGGCCGCACTTTTGAATTATGCGGCCGCACAATAATGGTGTGGTCCACACTTCTTCATGACTCAGAATCCATCTCTCTGAACCTCATCTTCTGCGGTCGCACAATAATTGTGCGGTCTGCACTTTGCAAAGGAAATCTGTCAGATTCTTCTTGGTCTGCGGCCGCACTCAATATTGTGCAGTCCGCACTCAATATTGTGCGGTCCGCATCTTGCTCTTTTTGCTTTGTTTTAATCCTTGTCCAAAATTACTCCTTCTTGAGATGATTTTCATCTCTTTGACTCATATTCCAACACTCTTGCAAGTAAGCACATTCCATCAATTTTCGGGAATACCTTTAGGCAATTTTGAGCTAAAATGAAAGTAAAAGGGTGCAACTAAGTAGTCAAAATCCCTATTTATCAGTCATGATATACTGAGGCATTATAATAGGAGAACCTCTCCAAGGTGCTTGAGGAAAATAGACTTAAGGAAGGCTTATGACATAGTAAGTTCGGAATTCCTACATGAAGTGTTGATAGGATTTGGCTTCCCAGAAAGGTTCACACATTTGATCATGACCTGTGTGACTTCCCCTAAGGTTACAGTAAAAGTCAATGGTTTAAGCTATGGCTACTTTGAAGGTAAACGAGGACTAAGGCAAGGCGACCCCATATCCCCTCTGATGTTTGTCCTAGTAATGAAATACCTGTCTAGAACCCTTAAAAGCATGAGTGACTTACCAGACTTCAAATACCATGTTATGTGTAAGCAACTCAAATTAACTCACTTTATTTTTGCTGATGACCTAATGATTTTCTGTAAAGGTGATGTAGGATCAGTGAGAAGGGTCATGGAAGCTTTGACACATTTCAGCAAAGTCTCTAGTTTAGTTGCTAACATGGAGAAATCCAATATCTTTATGGCTGGTGTTGATGACCAGCTAAAGGAGCAACTACTAGCAATAACAGGATTTTCGTAGGGGTCTTTTCCCATTAGATACCTTGGCCTGCCACTGTCCCTAAAGAAATGGAGTAAAATAGAGTGTTATCAGTTGATAGAGAAGATTACTAGTCCAATCAACTACACATACTCCAAATAGTTTTCATACGCAGGAAGACTTCAGGTGAGCAGGAAGACTTCAGGTGATTAATGCAGTGTTATTCTCAATCCACAGCTTCTGGGATTCCATCTTTATATTGCCACAGAGTGTGCTAAAGGAAGTAGATAGCAAATGCAGGGACTACCTTTGGGGTAGTTCAGAGGAAAAGAGGAAAATATCACTTGTCTCCCGGGAAAAACACTATTGGCCAAAGAAGTATGGAGGCTTAAACATAAAAGGATGTAAGAACTAGAATATAGCATCCGTTGGAAAGCTAATATGTCAATTGGTGGAGAATAAAGCTTCACTTTAGGTGAATTGGGTGAAATGGCATATATATGAAAACAAAGGCAAACATATGGGCACACAAAGCTCCTCATGACTGCAGCTGGTATTGGAAAAAAAACTCAATTCCTTGAAAGAAGACATGAAGGAATGGTATGATTAGGGGAGATACAAACTCACTTCTAATGGTAACTACTCTATAACAAGTAGTTATAATGCTATCATTAGAAGTCATAATCGACTAGCAAACACTAAGCACATTTTGAATGCAATAGCACAACCAAAGCATAGATTTATCACATGGTTAGATGTTCAAGGAAGATTACTCACAAAGGAGAGATTACAAAAACCGCATGTTCCTGTAGAGGACTCTAGTTGCTGCTTATGTGATGACCAGACAAATGAGACAGTTCAACACTTGTTTGTTGACTGTACTAGAACCCAAGACATCAGGAAAGGTCTTCTAAATTTGTTGGGATTGCACGTGCAAGCTGGAGAGTGCAGCAAGTACTAGATGAAATCAACAGAAAGCATTGGAAGAGATTCAAAAAGGAGGTGGCAGCTGCATTATGGCCGGCCTATTACAACGTATTCAACAGCAATGGCTGTATAACAGTTGCAATAGATTATCTATGGAAACGGTTACAACCGTTGCATTAGCCTTTCTACCCTACTGGGACAGTTCCAAGAAAAAACTGTTACAATAGTACAATAACCGTTGCAATAGATCAATCTATGGCAACGATACAGTAACCGTTCCAATTTATTCAACTGTGGCAACGGTCATTTGGAATATTAGGCTATTGCGACGGTTTCATTAAATATTGTCCCTCTTTTAATTTTATTAAACTCGATTTTACCTTCTTTTTTACCCCGTACCTAGTCCTTTTCCTTATTCCTCTAATTCGTCTCTTAAACTTAGAACATATCCATTCCCTTCTCTTATCCTCAACCTTCGAACCCTAACCCCTTCGGCGAGTCACAATGCAGTCCGTCAAGGCTCCAGCAAAGCCTACCGAATTGCTTCTCCAGTATACAGAGCTCACGCATAGCCTAGGGTAAGTAATTTAACGGTAGCGAAAAAGATTTAGCATTTGACTCCTCTGTATTCTTACCAGTTGATGTGAGACCACAAAGTTCTTTGTGCTTGGGTAAGTTATCAATATTGTTTTGAATTTTTTCTCCTGCAATTCTACCTAATTTAGTACCCTAACTGGGTGGGTGAAAAGAGTAATTAGGATTTTTCAAGTATATCATCTTATTAGGGGTTCCCGATATATACTCCAAGCAAAATCATACACTTTATTTGCAAGCTTGTATGCTTGATTGAAGTTCACTCTTGAGCTTTTAGAATTTATGATATTGTTTCTGCTTGGTTACTACCCTTTGAGCTATTTTAATATAGAGAAGTTGTAGAGTAATTGGTTATAGTTTCAAGGATTAATTAATAGCAATACCCAGGAGTAAAATGTTAGTAGCCTGCTAAATTAAATATTCTAGAATTTTGAGGGGACATATGTTACATATGTGCTTTAAACAGTGTTAGAATTTCTGTGCTCAGAAGATGTTAGAAAATATTTCACAATAAACACCTTTGAGTGTCCCAAACAAATATAGATGCAATTTACTGGAAAGGCTAATTGTATCTCTTGAATTTTGTTTGAATTAATATTGCCTTCTCTCATTTGTATGAAGAGATAAATATTTATGCATTGCACAAACAAGCATCAACTTAACAATTAATCTGGTAGATATAGCAATGATAGGCTTTAGTAGTTGTCGTTTATGAGGTAGAAGTTTCGAAGCTTATTATGTTGTAAAGGAATATGATAGCATGGCTCAGCTAGTAAATTTTAGTCTTCTCCATTTCTTATAATCTATGGCCTCCCAGCTTCTGATACTTTCTTCAGTTATGTTTATGTGTCACTGTTGGTGACTTTGATCCTATTACTCTGTCCATTTCACTTTTATTAGTTAGTTCTAAATTGATTATCTGCTAAAAGCTATGATTTAATTGATTATGAGCTCTTTGAAGAAATCTATAAACTGGCTTGTTTGTGAATCTTTATGACACTATTAAGAAAGTTTTACAAAATTGGACTTGTTTTCTTGAAGAGCTTCCTCTAAAACATGTTCCAAGTGACAGTAAGTTGTTTGTCATTTGATTGTGTCAATAATTGTGCTATTGGACTTATTTTTCTTTTCTCTAATACATTCTTAATGTGTGAATGAAATATACCTAAAAAAAGGGCAGCCCGGTGCACTAAGCTCCCGCTATGCGCGAAATATATCTGTTTTGGTTAATTATATAAAGACATTTGTATACGGTAATCACTTACTCTTTTATAAATTGAAGCAATATCCTTTTTCAAGTCTTTTTTCTTGCTTTGTATTCACACACTATTACCAGATTTACTTTGGTTTCTTTTTACTCTACATTAAGGTAACAGTGATGCAACAACTGCATTTGTAAATGATGGCATTTATTTGGAGAAGTATGTCCAAGATCCTAGGCAAATTGAATTTCAGGTATTGTTGTACCTTATTTTATTTGCCATTAGAATTTGACGCCTCATAGATGTTGGACATTACATCTTACTCGTACTCATGAGCTGTTGTCTATGGTTTTTTATACATACGAATGTCTAAGTTATGGATTTATGTTTTTCTTTATTTAACACATTTACATATTCATTTTTCTTCCAATGCTAGAACTGTAATGAGCCTTCGAATATTGTATTCTTGCTAATATTTAGGTACAGAAATGTCTGCGTCAAGTCTCGAATTTTATACAGAAGATAAAGCTTGCAGTCAACTCAATTTTAGATTAGCTTTTAATTTTAAGGGGCCTAATTAGTGGTTTCCTTCTTCTTCTTTTTCCTATTGCAGGAATCTCCAAACTTCAGCTCAAATGGTAGAAAAAATACTGTAAGTAGTACTAAACTAAGTGCTGAAATATTCATTAAGGTTTTGATGTCACAGGAAATTAGATAATGTGGTTTGTTGTTTGATCAAGTAGATAAGGCTTTTTATTTACATTCTAATAATATTCAAATTTGTTATTCAATTTGTCGAATGAGTAATTCCAAGTTTTGTGATCAACACATGCTAAATTATTGAAAATTTTGAGACCTAGGAATATCTATTTCACAGTTTAAAGGAGCTGATATCAGTGTCTTAAATTTTTTCCAAGGGAATGAGTATGGTGTTTGAAAACCTATCTTTTATTATACTCATTATGCTTTAGGTGATTTGCTTAGTTAGAACCCCAAGGTTTATATATATGATATTAGCTCAAGTCTAGGTAGCTCTGCTCAAGTGTAGGTAGAATTCTGCTTGAAATGGTGTTCTAGAGTGCAAGTGAAAGAAAAAATTGAACATGTCTTTTCATAGTGTACTAAGTTTTGGGTTTGAACACTGGAATCTTATGTCATTACCTACGCTAGAAAATTCATCGGTGATTTGGCTTTTTGATTTGAGAATCTATGAGGTTGGGTATGAAACTACTAACTATCTGAGTTCTTTTAATTATTGCTATGTAATTAAATGCCCTAAAGATTGACATTTTTTGTTTCATGATTTTGTAGGTGAAGCATCAAATGAAAGGGTAGACGAGCAGTGAAGACCATACTTAGGAGTATTGGTTGATCGTTTCTAGACGTTTAGATATTCTAGGAATTTTTTGTTTAGAACTCTGTAAACTTATATATGAAAACTCTTGAATTGTCAAACGATAGTGTATGTTTTGCTTTTATTTATTTATGGATAATGCTAGTACTAGTTAAATATTTTGGAATATATTTTTATTAATGTGTAGTTTCTTTTTGCGATTTATATAAATTTGAGAGTATTATATTTTGTTATGTAGGTAACAATTATTTTAATAACCATCAAATTGTTGCAATGACCTAAAATCCGTTGCCATAGCTCCTAACGATTGTTGCCACAGCTCCTAATAACTGTTGCCATAGCATTACAAACCCTTCCAATAGGGGTATCGCGACGGTTTGAGAACCGTCCTATATGAGTAAATAACCGTTGCAATTGTAGGCCTATGACGACGCCCCAGAAACCGTTGCAACAGATTTGCCTATGGTAACGTTTAACAACCGTCGCAAGAAACCGTTGCAATAAATCTATTTGCACGGGATCTGATGGAACGCCTCTAAAACCGTTGCAAAAGGTCTATTGCAACGGTTTTACTATCTACTGCAACAGTTTTCAAACCGTTGCCATAGGCCTTTTTCTGGTAGTATGGGAAGCCATGATATATCATATCTGGAGAGTTAGAAATAGGAAATTGTTTGAAAGAGTAACTGTACATACAGAGTTGATAGTTACACAAATTAAGAAGGATATAGTCGAGAGGATAGATTTGTTTTCACACCCAAAGAGAGCACAAAGATGTAGGATTTTTACTCAAAGATTACTTTGTAACTAGTAAATCCAAGACCTAACTCTACTGTTAGAGAGGACTTAGGTGCTTTGTAGGTGTATTGTTTAATTGTTGTTATTAATGGTAATATTCACAATTGTTACCAAAAAAATAGTGTATAATAGGAGGAAGGGGTCTACTAATTGTATTTTTTCCCATAGTCCCTTCCTTTCACTGTAGGAAAGACACCACAAAGGTAAGGTTTATGTCCCTCTCGGTTGTACCTTTTTGTTAATATAGTCGACGAGGTAGGGATCCGAATCAAACCCCCCAACACCACCTGAGATGAAAGCCCGGGTGATTGGCTTATTATTAAAAACTAAAAAAAGGTTCTAAAGGATTAATACGTGAACTATTCAAATAAACTGTGCTAGCTCATAAGAAGATACAGTTTAGTGATTTATCTTTAATTGGTTTTGCCCTAAACTTATTGACTTACACTGAAATTCGGTGTATCAGTAGTTAGGTGCATTTTCCAGGTAAAAAATCTAATTGCAATTAAAATAAAAAATCATGAAATAACAGAATAAACAACTACTACGGAGTAATATATATACGAAATAAAGTTATATATATGTAAACTCATACATGATATTGATAGGAGTTTCAGAGATACTTCTGAAAATGCAACTCCCAGAGGGATCTCTAAATCCCAAAATACTTACAATCACTAGGGTGCAAAAGTTAGAAATAAAGAGTTTACACGAGATTGACTTATAGATACAATAGAGTTGAGGCCCACTTTTTAATGGAATTAAGAAAACCTTGCATAAAGGGCTTCCAATTAGCTTAGTAGCAGCTTCCAATATTTATTGTCTTGCTTTTAAAGTCTTTTACACGGGAGATTTGATTGGGGCATCTTCAAGATTTTTACCATCGTCTTTAGCCTCTCCATTTTCACTGCCCATGGATGGTAAACTAACTGGATAAACCTCAGAATTAACTTTTGTAGGCAACTCCTCCAGCTTCACAACAGTGGGTAGTTTCTTCTCTTGTGCCTCATTTGGCTTGGCGTTTCTGTATATTCCATACAATACCATTTGCAGCACCCCTAGTATCATTCCCGCAATGTTTGGTACCTGTTTTTTTTAATTATGTGGGGAACCAAACATTAGGTACATCATAGTATTGTTAACATGGACGCTATCAGTATAATTTAACTAGTTCTGCTTGTTATAACGTCAGTACTTATTATTATGGACGGTTACATGTTTTAGGTGGCCTTATTCTCTTATATTGTTAGTGAATAAAAGTAGCAATAAAAATTTATGTTGATATATTTACTATAGTTTGGTACCCTGTTTATATGTTTGGTATTGTACTTTTATCTATTTAGTAACATGACCACAAACTATCTTACTTTATACTGTTCCATAGTAGGCATAAAAGTTAAAGAGAGCGATAATATAATTACCGTGACATAGATGTCTCTCAAAAGTAAACCGTACAAAAACCACATTACAGCACTAAGTGTAAGGGTTAATGACAAGTTAAATGGCATGAACTCCACACTTTTGGTCCGTATTACCTGCCCCTGCAATTTTACCATAATTAAATAGCGTTAGTGAGAGTTGTCTAGGGATTAAACACCTATTAATCAGAAATTAAATAATCGAAGAATTAAACTGTTTTAGGTTACCATAATGCTTAGAGGTGCTACAAACACACTAATAGAAAACGCCATGCAAATCCATCCAATAACTTCAGCTCGTTTTGCTCCTTTGCATAAAATTTGAGTAAGGAAAAAAATCAACCCAAAGCCACCGAAATTCAACAATAGAACAAGTCTCAATGTTTGCATCTGCAAAACCATTCCAAATTTCATAATCCACCAAACTATGTAACAATAACTATAACGAAATTAATACTATAATCTATAAGTACGAAATTAAAGTTGTATATACCCTTGTTTTTTTTGTCGCATAAGCAAAATAAATAGCAACATAAATAGTCTCCACAATGCAGCCAAAGGAGTTGATGGTGATGATAAGGGTTTCATTTGTCTTAACCATTGCATAGTAAACCCAAAGCATTGAACTAAATAATGCAACAACATACGGCACCGATTGAAACCCTTCGGCTGATTTCTTTTTAACGATCTCATAAAATGTAGGTCTGCGAATCAAATGTTAAAAAAGAAAATTAATTTTTAGTTGTTGGTAAGAAAAAAAAATAAAGCTTACGTCTAATTTTGATTTTGGAGAGAAAACTTACACTGGCGATATAAACACCATGAAGGAGATTATGTTACCTGCAACATTGTCAGGATGGACAGGCATTAATTACTTCTCAACAATTTCTTTTTCTTTTTTTATTTCTCAAACAAATTTATTCTAGTTTCATGCATGTAATTAATATTATCTTTTTCCTTTTCCGAAAGATATTCTTCCTCCTACTGGAATGTAAGAACATATTAAAGAAAACAAAAATAAAAAGTATTGAAAGTTTACTATTGAAGGTTTTGGCTGAAAGTTTTTGTAGCCTAGGAGATTGTAAGAAAACTTACACTGTAGTTTTCAAAAGCAGTAGCGTCAACTTGCTTGAAAAGAGTAAAAGGCACATAAAAATATAAGTGAATGCTGTGAAAATTAGGGGAAGGATATGGCCGGTGGCGGAGCCAGTAGCCACCTTATAGGAAAGGGTTCACGGGAAAAATTTACACTGAGTAGATAGGTAAAAAAAAATTATATGTATATATACGATGTATTGACTCCCCTTAATTTCCTGGTATGTTTATTTTTATATATTTTGACACCTCTAAACGAAAATTCTAGCTCCGCCACTGGATATGGCTACTAGATAAGCTAGAAAGTTTACCCAAAATGCCAAAGGCGAAGATCAAAGGATGGTTTGCCATGTCCTCAGGTTTTTCTTCTTCTCCTCCTCTGAAATTAAGGCAGAAAAGCTAGGGTAAGATAGAGTAAAATCTAAGGTTACCCAAGCTCTCCTGTTGATATAAAACAACAGTTGCTGTCACATATTTATAGTGAAGGCTTGGAATGTTTACTACATGAGTTTATGCATATGTGGCATGCAATAGTTACTTTAGCACTACAAATGCTTAGGGATGGATGCAGTGTTAAGGTGCCGAGTTCCTATGAATCTAATAATTTTTTATGCGGAGTATAAATATTTCGGAAAAGGCCCAAAAATGTCCCTAAATTATGTTATATAGCTCAGTTATGCCCTCCGTTAGTAAACTGGGCCAAAAAAGTCCTCCCTGTTAGCACAATGGCCCATTAATACCCTTCAACCTAACGGCTCCTTCCATCAGCATTTAATATCCTACATGGCATCCAAATAAGCCATTTAATATCCTACATGGCATCCACATAAGCCATTTAATATCCTACATGGCAGCCACATAAGCGGGCTATTTCATAAACCCGCTTCAGTTCCCATTTCCAAACAAATATCAAAGAAAGGCCGTAAACCCCCATTTCCAAACAATTTCTGGTACTCATTCTTCCATGGCGATTTGTTTGGAGGTGATGATAAAATCGAGCAAGGTGAACTGGACCACAAATTAAAGATCAACGGAAGATATTCAGGTAATTTTCCCTTCTATTTACTGGGTCTTTGTCTCGAACCAACTCAACCCGCTTCAGTTCCCATTTCCCTTCTAGGGTTTTGACATGTTCTGGTATTTTGGACCTTTTTCGTCTAGTGTATAGTGTTTGCATGTGGGGCTGGTACTCTTTTTGTTTGGTATCTTTGTTGTTTCCTTATGTGGTGTCAATTTGTGCCCTAGATGTACTTTGTCTTTGGCTGCAAGTGTCATTTTCACATATTTTATTATAGTGTGGTAGGGTTGGGTTGTTGAAATCGACAGAACCATGTGCATTTCTTCTTAAAGACTGTTTTTTTTCTTGCTTTCCACTGTTGAAATCGACAAAACATGTATAGACCGTGTGCTTTTTCTATTAAAGTGTGTGCTTTATTCTTTTCACTATATTATATGCAATAATTTATTGTATGTTCAATATTTTATTGTCAAAGTTGTTAAATTATTCATGTGGGCCCTCTAAGTTTTCTTCTGTGTTTATATTATAGATATTTCAATATGGGGGACCACGAAGAGCCAATTTCAGGTCAATATCAGTGTGAATTAGGTACTGATTGTGAATCGGATAGTGATAAAAGTTCAGAGTATGGTTCAGATGCTAGTGAATATGATTTTGAAGAATTAGAGTCACTTAGGATGCAAAAGGGTAAAGAAGTTAATGATAAGCTCAGTCACTACAAAGAGCTTGATAAGTCTATGACATTTAAGGACCTGGAAGAGGCCAAAAAAGTCATGAACTTCTATGCTATTGCAAATTCCATACCTTTGAAGCTTAAAAAAAGTGATAAAATAAGAGTAAGGTACAGATGTGTTGTAGGCTGCCTTTTTGAATGCCTCATCTCTGAAGATAAGAAGGGTCCTGGCTTTAAGATGAAAACATTGAAGACAGAGCACAACTGTGAAGATGCATTTGAGAATCCTAGAGCCAAAACAAAAACTTTAGCTGAATATTTCAGGAGTAAGGTGCAGAATAACCCCAAGTACAAGATAAAGGATATGAAACTAGATTTGAAAAATTAATTTTCATTGAATGTACATAACTCCACATTGAAAAGGGCTAAGAGGATGGCACTTCAGCAACTGCAAGGAAGCTTTTTAGATGACTATAACAGATTAGAAGCATATGCAAATGAGATTAGGGAGAGCAATCCCGGTAGTGGTGTGGTTATCAATTTATCAAAAGATGCCATGGCTGAAGGTAAAAGGAGATTTCTTAGAATGTACATATGCTTCAATGCAATGAAGTTGGGGTTCAAACAAGGGTTGAGACCATTCATTGGACTAGATGGGACTTTCTTAAAGGGTCATTGCAAAGGGCAATTATTGGTGGCTGTTGCACAAGATTGTCAGAATCATTTCTATCCCTTGGCTTGGGCTGTAGTTGATAAGGAAAACACCTTGACATGGACATGGTTTCTGGAGCTGCTGAAGCACTCATTGAATCTGAAAGATGGAACCAGTATTACCTTTATGTCTGATATGCAAAAGGTACAACTTATAATTTTGTTTAACTGACTATTCCCGTTATTTTTAAGTTATTATATAGTTAATTCTGTTTAAATTTACATGTGCAAGGTCTGTTGGAAGCAGTAAGAACTGTCCTCCCTCTCTCAAATCATAGGTTTTGTGTGAGGCATATTGAAGCCAACTGGAGTAAGAGGATCAGAATTTCAGGAAAGATGAAGAAATACCTATGGTGGTCTGCTTGGAGCACTTATGAGGAGGACTTTAAAGATCAACTAAAGAATCTTGGTGAATTGTCTGTTGATGCTGCCAAGGAGTTGCTTAGGTATCCACCACAGAATTGGTGTAGGTCCTACTTTGATACATTGTGCAAAAATCAGATGGTGGACAACAATTTTACAGAGTCCTTCAACTCTTGGATCTTAGAAGCAAGAGGCAAGCCTATCCTGAAGATGCTTGAGGATATTAGAATCAAGGTCATGAACAGGTTGAGAGAGAAGGAAGAAGAAGCTAGAACATGGGGAGGTGAGTTTAGTCCTAACTGCATGAAGTTGTATGCTGCTTATTTGAAGATAGCCAACTTATGTACTGTTCATTTCAATAGTGAAACTGGTTATGAGGTTTCTGAGGGTGGTGATAGACATACAGTGAACCTAGTGGAGAAAAAATGCACTTGTAGATCCTGGCAGTTGACTGGCATCCCATGCCCTCATACCATCAGGGCACTAAAATACAAGAAAGAGGATCCAATGACTGAAATTAGTTGGTGGCACAGCAAGGAAGCTTACCTGATGACATATAGGGCTAAGTTGATGCCTGTTAGAGGTGAAAAGTTCTGGAAAGTTTTACCAGAACATGCTATGGACCCTCCTCCACTTGCCAAAACTGTTGGAAGACCAAAAGTCAAAAGAAATAGGGAGAAAGATGAGGCTAACAAGAGACAAGGAGATTGGGCTGCATCAAGAAGGGGAACTAGAATGACATGCAGCATTTGTGGTGAACTGGACCACAATTCAAGGACATGCAAGGTACTTGCTTCTTAACTTATTATCTTTCTTCTTATATAATTGTAGTTATTCTTAATTTAATAGAAAGTTTTTCTTTTTAATAGGTTGGTGGTGAAGGAAATGTTGAGGATGTTAGTTGTTCAGCCCCTCAACCAACACAAGAAGGTGAACGTGAAAGTGAATTTATGTTCATGCCTACACCAAGAGTACCAATACAACAAGAAGAACCCTTTGGTGATGATAGTGAGCATGAAAGTGACCATGCTTTAATGCCTAAGATTATTTCTGAAGATCAAACACGACTACTGATGAGGCAGCAATAATTGGCCTCAGTAGGGACAAGAGTTATCTCTTTCAAAGGAGATCATACTGGTGTCAGTTATTCCGTTGATCTTCCTTACTCACCTACTAAGCTCACTTGGAAAGGCAAAGAAGCTGGGACTGGAAATCAATTGGAAGTGGCAAGACAAAAGAAAGTCGGGAAGTTGAAGTGTAGGAAACTCAATGGGAACTCACAAATCTAGGAATCTTGGTTATTATATGTAGTTGCAAATCTGTAAACTCACAGAAGCCTTTTGTTTTGATATTTTGTTTGGTACAACAGTGCTGTTTGGTTTATGTTTAGTTGCAAATATTACAGCAGTGCTGTTTGGTTTATGTTTAGTTGCAAATATTACAACAGTGCTGTTTGGTTTTGTAGTTATTTTGTAAACATGTTTTGATGGCTGGACAGTGTTGTTTTGTATCAACAGTTAACTAAAATTTTAATGCAGTGCTGTTTCTGTTAGCAGCAGTAAATTAAGATTACATCAGTGCTGTTTATTTTGATATTTTGCTGGACAGTGGGTTGATGTGTATTGCATATGGTCGAGACTTAGTTTGCTGGATAGTGTTAGTTTGCACAGCAGTGTTGGTCGAGACTTAGCCATATTTGGTAGACTAGAGTATTTGCCTACTGTTGCGGGAAATAGATGCATCCAATCCTAAGCAACTTCTGTTGTGTCACAATCTCTACTATAAGAGCAAGGCACCAGCTTAAATACAACAAATGTGTAACAGTACCTCTTCAGTGCAAGCATAAAGCTGCATATGATTGTGGTTGGCGTATGCTAATTGAAATTGCATTTGAACCTTGTAGTCTCATTAAGTCAAAATGGATTTCTATTTTACTCCAGTTTTTATGTCAAAAATGATTCCTTCAAAGCTCCATAAAAGAAGGTGAATTCAGATGGCATTGCTCATCTAGTTTGTTGCTGCAATAACATGTATTGAGCAGCATTATGCCATTTTCAATCATTTATGTCATTTTCATATGACTTTCTCGACCAGCAACACATGTGGAATATATAACCACCTCTTTTTAAGAAGAAGACCAAGAGAACATACCAAAATCAATAATAATTGCACCAAAATTAAAGACAACACCATAGATTAACTTCATCATATTACAGACTACTAAACATACATAGTTTAATTTCATCACCCCTATAACTAAACCAAAATACTACAAAAATACATTAAAACAACATACATTCACTTCATCATCCCTACGACAACCAAAGCAAATAATCTAGCCCATGAAACCAAAAAATGATATTTCTCATCTTCTTCACTTTGACCTCTAACTTACTAGCTTTTTCAGCTTTCACAAGTTGAAATTGCTCCATTTCGTCAAGCTTCGTCTTCAAAGTATGCCTTTCAACCATCGTAACATCTTCCATTTCATCAAACAAGTTCTTAGATCCCCTTTGAACCATCGTAGCTTGTTCCATAAGGTAAACTTTATTCCTCAAATTGTTCCTCTCAACCTTAGCAGCATCAAGTTTAGTTTTTAAATCTTTGATCACCATCACCGCTCGACGAGGGAGCTCTTCGTCAATCCATTCAAAATACCCGCAAGAACTAACCTA